TGTTTTTTTAGGTGTATCCTCTTCAATATAACAATATTTTACTAATTATAAAAGAATTTTTATTATTATTCAATGGTACACTTGAGATGTTGTCAAGTGACAAAACTTATAGTTAACCGTGAACATGTTTAGCATTACAAGATTTATTAGTGACATTGTATTACAATATAAGATTTGTATACAAATGACTATTAGCACATCCAACACCAATATGTAGACATTATCACAAGCATGTGTAATTAAATTAAACAATAGGAATTCCCCAGCTATCAAATAATATTGCTAGAAAGCAGTTATTAGTCACAGCATTGTGTAGAGAACAAACTGAAGATGCAAGTTTCAAAAAGGTGAACATTGGCATCTTTTTGTAGTGAATGTGTCAGCATTTTGTAGATTTTAATGAGGTACGAGTTTTGAATTTCAGTTAATATTGGTGTAGGCAATTTTTTTGTGTGTGCGTGTGTGCATTTCTTTGTGTGTATGCATGCATATCTGCATCTCCTAATATTTAACTGCTTGACTTTGTAAAACAATTATGCTATTTAGGTTTCCTGTATAAATAGAGCACATTTTAGTTTTGTGCAACAGCAAGCCAAAGAATGTTCATAAAGCATGATGCATTTTCAGTTTATCCCTACCAAAATGAAAATCATTTTCATTCTCCTCCCCTTTTAGTTTCTTTTAAAAAATATATATATATATTCCAAAGCAAAGCTGATTTGCTCATATGTCCTCCTTTATATTTTTGCCTCGATTGACTTGCATTATCAGGAAAATTTAATGTGTGTTAATATGAATGCTTTGCAAGACCAGAATTGCATGAGAGCATGGATAATCAAAGTAAGCACCAGTTGCTTTTTTTTTTTTTTTTTCTCCAATTTCCCAACTTTAGCATAAAATTTTTACCTTTGCAAGGCTTTTATCTTCTGCTTACAGATCTTAAATATTACTTATTAAAAATGAGTTTTTATGCTCCACCTGTTTTATTTTATATATATATATATATATATATATATATATATATATATATATATATATATATAATATATATATATATAATATAATGTGCAAAGTGTTTGTGCATGTAGGGGAAGTATTTCTTTGAGGCTGGCTCTTTTTAACTGCTACCAGTGTTGTAGATCTTTCTCTCTACTTTCCTGCTAAAAAATGTTAGTAAATGATTTATACAGTATTTTCTTCTATTTCTTTCACTAACAGTGTGCTACTTTTCTTCTAATCCGTGTGTAACTTCATCTAAAAACCCCTTTTGTGTTTGCCACTCGAATGAGTATCAAAATTGTTTATGTAAGTGACAGACTTCAGCTAGTGGTCTTTAAATGATTTAACTACCTTTTCTGATAGATTGCAATTTCATACCTTATTGGTTGATTGCTCTTAAAATCTTTGTCCAATTCACAACCTTTTTTTTTCTTTTTCTCTCTTCCCTTTCACTTGATAGGTAGCAATATTTCCGTTTCTTAACAAAAATTTATATTTAGTTCAAATTTTTACCAAAATAATTTAATTTCTTGCAAACTGGCTCATTTATCTTTTGTTTATATGAACAGATAAATATAGTTTTTATTTGGGGTGTAGGTCAGTATATATTTCTGTCTAGCTTCAAAGTTTCCTCAAAAAACGCAGCCCACTCCCACACACAAACACCACTACTGCTACCTACATAAGTTTGTCACTTTCCTTTCTGTGACACTTTCCACTTTCAATAAATCAGGGCATTTTAATAAGGCACTAATTACTGTCTTGCACACATATATATATATAATCTCTTTTTGATGCTAATTTTAAGGCGGTCACATCATACATGAGATATAAAACTAGCATATGTTCTGCTGGCCCTGGCTATGCCATTGACCAAACTATATATCCATTTACTATAGTCAAATTAACTTCAAAATTATGTATTCAAAAGGTTGCGTGTGCACACACACACACACGCGCGTATATATATATATATATATATATATATATATATATATATATATATATTCCTTTGTTTTCACATGCATCCTATTTACTGGTGAGAGAACTTTGCTGAGAAGGACCAGAATGCAACTGTCTAGCTTGTAGATTTGTAAAAGGTAACAGAATGACATCCTTGTTGGATATTAATTTTATTTTATAAAAATTAGGTTAATCTAAAGAAAAGCTTGGTTTTTACATGACCTATATATAGGTACCTCCACAAATTGGGTATATGGAAGATTTAAAATGAAAACACTTTCTTGAAGCTTTCATTTTAGCTTTAATTGAAAGCTGTTTCCAGTAATCAAAATCAATATTTTATTTTTTCAGTAAAATCGATCAAAATGGCCATTTTTAACAGATTTGTAAACAAGTTAATTCTCACTTTTAAAAATCTTGCAAAAATAAAATATATATTTCTGAAACTTTGAGGAAAATTAGCAAATTTTAAGTTAAATTAATCTGATTTGAAACAAATATTACTTATAGCATAAAATGTTGTATACAAACATTTTTTAACTGAGACCTTGTTTTTTTTTTTTTTTTTTTGTTTATGTGTTAATTTATTGTCAGTTGGTCAAGAGCCAAATGTGTTCATGGTTAATTATGGTGGATCAGATGATAATTTTTTTTTTTTTTTTGCCATGAGGGGGAACAACCCTTAAAACACATGACCTTTTAATGCTAAATTTATTGGTTTGTACATCCATACTTTAGAAATTCTGCACATAATGACACATACAAAAACAAATAGATTTTCTTTTGAAAATTATTTTTAAGTCATTAGATTGTAATAAGCTTTAAAATATATGATTAATAAATGCAGTTTTATTTAATAACAATATTTCCTAAGAATTCTCACATTGAAAATTAATTTTAAAAGATTTAAAAATTTTATATATTATTCAATTTAAAATTGTAAAAAAATGAAACAAATTTGATAAATTCATTTTTCATTTAAATTTTCTTTTTGGTTTTTCAGCCATTGTCAACAATTATTTTTATTATTATTCATAAAAGCAATTTAAATTTTCTCTAATTAAATAATGTCTTAGTTTTATTTTTTTTTTTTTTATTTTTAAATTCAGAACAGATTTTCAGTAAGACCAGGTCCAATTTTGCAAAAAAACATTTGATTTGAATTCTTCAAAGAATTCTGCTTTTAAGTAATATAGTCACTAAAAAATTATCTCATTGAATTTCTCAAGTTTTCATAAAATTAAGTAAAGGGTGAAACATAATTATATATATATATATATATATATATATATATATATATATATATATATATATATATATTTAAGATTTTCTAATAAAAAAAAAAAATGCAAAAATAATTTAATTCATTTGTGAATGAGTCTTAAAAAATTTCATTAAAATCCAACAATTATTTGCAAGAATTTCCAAAGGAATATGTCTGTCACTGCAAAAAGAGGACAAAATTTGCTACGCTAAACGTTAGTACAACTGTAGATGCAAGAAAATAAATTTTTAATCAAAATTTCAAATCTTCAAAGAAGAGTAAAATATTTAATAATCAAAAAATACTTTGATCCTTCCTCTTAATAATGACAAAGATTTTGACAATAAAACTGTGCTTTCATTATGTTTTGGAGCATGCTTTCATCACGGTATGCATTTTTTTTTTTTTTTTTTTTTTTTTTAAGAGCGTTTTTGTGGAGGTACCTACCTATATAGATGTCAATATAGCAGCAAATTAATTTTTAATGGAAATAATTTGTTAAATATGAGTTCCAAACTAAAACTTTTAGCTTATTGAAATCATTTCACATCATATGAAGCATGTACATCCATGATATAAAAATGGTTAGCAAGCCCATTATTTTGATTCAAGCAAATTTTGTTTAGCTGATAAACAAGGTCAACAGTTCACTGATCTATTTTTATTGGAATGGTGAACAGACTTGTCAAATTTATAGCACACTCTATACCCACCTGAATTTGTTGGGATTTAAATAGATTGTTTAAAATTTTAAAAATACTCTATCCCTCCCACCTCCAAATATTATAACCTGAAATTTCAAGTTTGCTAATTTCTCTATCCTCCAAGTATGTTTCCCCTTCTTTTAAAGAGAATAATCACTTACTTTAGGGTTGCTATGCAATTTCTTACTTTATTATTCAATTGCCCTTCTGAATCCTATAAACTGAACGTCTCTTGCAAATAAATTTCCTTTCAATCACCTTTTTAAATTATATTCCCTCTAAAAAAGAACAAACATTATTCTCTAACTGCCCCTTAAGTTTAATATCTTTACTCTGCTAAAATAAATCCTCACTCTTGACTTGATAATTCTATAATTAATTTTTATCTTTATTTTAATTGTGAAACAGATTACTGTTAGGCATAAGATATCTGTCCAGTTTTGCACCTGATTTTGTGGACAATTTCAGCAATAGTCAAATATTTCTTCTTTTTTTTTTTTTTTTTTTTTTTTTTTAAATTGGTCAGTTCCCCCACCCCACAATTCTCTTTAAGCTAGGCATTCTACTGCTGGAATTGATTGTTTTATATCTTACTTTGTCAAAAATAATTTTAAAAAATTATTACTTTTTTACATTTTTGAATTACTTCAAAAAGAATGTTCACTTGCTTTCTGTTCCAAGAGATTGATGTTTGTTTGTTTTTGAATGTCGCATGCAAATCATTTCTTGGCTCAAAGCAATCAAATGTCTGTAAATTGATAGAAAATCACTTATACCAGCCCTATCTCCGTTAGTTCCCTTAGGTACCTCCACCACCACCACACTGTGGGACCACGCTGCAGCAACAACATTGGGGCAACAAAACACACAGTCCTCTTCATCCGTCTCTGTCTACTGCTCAGGCTTGACTGACTCATCACTAACCGTTGCTGTTTATATGGCTTAGATTAATCTTTAACCAGCTCCTCCTCTTCCTTCTCCTCCTCCTCTTCATAATGATAGCTGAGAAGGTGCCCTGTGTCGGCCTGCGCACATTCCTCTATGGCTTGACTGACTTCCGACGGGAGAATATGCTGCGTAAGGGCCGCGAGGTGCACCGGATCTATGTTGATGTACACAAGGGGACCTCCTTCCTAGAGGACCAATTTACACTAACAGAGTTTGGCAGGACAGTGCTGGAAAGTGGAGGGATAAAAGCTGGCCGTGCCAAAAATGTGGAACAAATCGTTGTTGCCCGGGAAACTCTCTATTGCAGCGGCTCTGCGACTTGTCGACGAGTGTGTGGAGGATTTTCAGAATGCACTCCAGGTAAGAAAGTTTCCTTTTATTTCTCCTGACTATTCTTGTGAAATCTGAATAATTTGATGTAAAAAGTTGATTAAAAGAAATGTCAAAATAAAAAGATTGGCCAAAATATTAGTAAACAATTTTTGCTGCTTTCCCATTCATTCTAAAGCTAATGTAAGAATTTGGAAGGAGATAGACATTGAGTTGTTTTCATTTTTCTTTAAAGATGCTCCATCTAGAAAAAAAAAATGTTACATCAGTATTTGTGTAATGACATCTAGAGGGTGCAAGGGATAAACTGTCCTCTTAATTAAGCAAAAATGAAAATAACACTGACAACTTATTTTAACAGATATATTTATCAAAATTACACAAAAATATCTTAAAATGCTAAAGAGTAAATTTATTCAATAAACTCACCATTGACTTCAATCACAGCTACAAACGACTTCGGAATCTCCTGCAACTATTCTGGATGGTCTTCTTGTTTAAGTTGGTGAATGATGCTATAATCCTTGCCTTAAGTTCATCTTTAGTGTTACAAGTTTTGTTGGTCTCTTGCTCAAATGCACCCAACACATGATAATCAAGGGGATTGCAGTCTAGGAAGTTAGGTGGCCAGATGTAAGGGGTGATATGGTTGCAGAAATTGTTTGACAGTCATGACTGGGTTCCCTTGCTTGTGTAGCATGGTGCAGAGTCCTGTTTTCAGACATAGGGACATCTAGCAGCCACTGTCTTGATCCAGGGCAGTACTACCTCTCCAAGGCACTTGATGTAGGTCCCCGTATTGAGTCTGAGGCCCTCATCCACAAATACAGGAGATTTTTTTTTTTTCCTTACCAGAACAATCTGAGTTTTCCAAGCTGCTGTACATTCATAATCACCATTAGACTCCTCCAACTGTTTCAGAATACTCTGCACTGTCCTCAAATTGACACCCAAACACTTTACTTTGAAATGTTTATATTGGTGCTTCCGGTGTGAATGTCAAGCTGTACAGCATGCCGTTTCCAAATTTCTGGCAGAGTAAATTGAATCATGGTGCTCTTTTTTTTTTCTCACAGATGAGAACTACCGTACTATACTGACCCTAGTATGCTGTGCAGTTGACAAAAACAAGCAATGCATATGCACAAAATTAAAAATATAAAATGGCGACAATTTACCCCTTGCATCCTGTATTTATTTTACTACTGTTGTTACTTCTTGAAAAATAAAATGACATTAAATATGACTTTTAATCAGTAATAATTCATGTCAGTGTTAATAAGAATCATTGGTTATAGAATTGAGAATTATTGTGCCAAGCTTTTTGCAAAGTCCAAGGAGAAAGACATATACCCTGGTCGTGGAGTAATGATTAGTAAGCTCCTCTCAACAAATCATTACTCTTGAGTAGTAAAATTGATCCTCACTGAGAGACATGCTTAGAATTTTGTGTCCAGCTAAACTTGACAAATATCTATACTTTACTAAAACTAAGTGCAGTATATGTAATGTCTGGAATAATGTGTAGAAAAGCCACATGTTAATTAAGACAAATCTTTTATTGAAAATCATACTCAAATTTTCAATAATCTATACTATAAAGGAGTTTGTGGTCTCTAATTTTATATATAGAAGGCACTTTTTCATAGCATTTTAGAAGTCTGTCACCAGAATTTCAGGTTAGAAAAACTGATAAATTAACCAAATGCTAAATTGATGTTCGTTTGAATGACTTGATAATTATGATCTCCCAAACCTTTTTCAATTTTAGTGCAACAGATTTAAATTTTGCTCAAGCTCTAAATATAAATAATTGTAAATATATATATATATATTTTCTTAATTTCCTCTCCCAAGAACTTGTTTAGCTCTTTGCTTGTACATTTAAGTCTTTATATAGATTGTAGTAAAGTGGTGGGAACCATTTTTGATGGAGTGACCAAGCCAGAATTGATTGTTGTCAATGGTTGACAATTAAGCTCATCTCTCTCAAAGACACCTCAACCATTACTAAACTATCATAGATATTCTGTGGTCTTCAACCATATTTTATTTACTTATTTTTTTTTTTAGCCAGCTTCCTGGATTCCTCTGTCACTCATGACATAGCTTATGTTATGTTTCCTGTCACAAATAACTTCCTCAAAATACCCTGGCACTCTTCACTAATGTATACACTTGTTATAGTGAACTTGTGAACTGCAATAGCTCTTATATGTCAAAGATGACCATTTTATCATCTCTTTTCAGATCTTTTGACAATTTTTATGATGGTTAGTGTAAGGAACTGTATTGTTTTGCTTCCGACTTCCTATATGCAAAGATAGAAAACAATTCTTTTGACAGGTCTTAGGTCAGTAGCTGTCATAGTAGCTTTTCCTCTCTCTTGAGAGGTTTAAACATAGATTTCCGAAATTTACTTGATATCAAATTAAATATATTTGATGTTTGGTAAAAATCTAATAAAAGTGATGTCAAAATAATTTTAGTTCGTAACCAATCCAAAAAAAATATGTTGTCCTTAGAATATTCACATCAGGATTAAAAAAATTTTTATTATCATTTTATTTTTTATTTGTCTTTTTATTCTTTATTTATTCAAAATTATAGTTTGTAATTTAAGAAAATTGTTTAACTCATTAATGCTCACTGTTCTATTTTTGGAACACTGGACATTAATGGGTTGCAGGTAGAAACCTAAAGGATACTGGATTTTATTGTAGCAATTAATGGGTTAAAATAATGTTTATATATCATATAAACACATGAAATGTGATGTATAAATGTGGATTTTTTTTTTTTTTATTCAACTGTAATTTGACAAATATTTAACTGCTGAAGAATAGTTTTTTGTTAGATTTCCCATTTTATAGTTACAAAACTAGGAATAGCCCTAAAAGTTTTATTTACATGGCAACTGCATCCAATTTAACTAATTTGGGTTAAATTTACACTGTACCCTTAAAAGCAGCATTTGATAGAAGCCTAATTTGGTTCCAGATTGAACATTGGTCAAGTTTCATTCATACTCATAGATTTTATCTACTTGCAAAATAAGATACCCAAAATGATGCAGATGGTTACTTTAATTATTTGGAGGTATTAGGAAAGCTACAAAACTTAAATGAAATAATTGACTAAATAAACTCCTGTATATCTCTTGTTTCTTGAACCTAGTTGCTTAATATGCAAGAAAGACAGTTTTTACTCCCATTGCTTAAACATGAACTCCTTTCATCTAGTATAAAATCTAAAACTGAAGAACCATTTTGTAAATCCTACATACATCTTTTACTGAAGCCTCTTACTAAGGGTTAAAGAATAAAGACCTTTTTAAAGGTTTCTTTTTTCCTACATTGATCCAATAATAATGGTTGTTTAAATGATTAAAAGAAAATTTAGTTAACCGATTATAGAAGTATGTAAATAAACAAACTATAGAACCCCAAACAGGTAATTTGACTAAGTCCCAGATTTACACCTCCAGTCCCCAAAGATTAATGAGATTTAATTTACTATTAATTCTTAGATTAAAACCACCTGACTTTACAGAATAAAAGATTTGCTTCAAATTGTCAGTAACTCCAAAATTTGCACCAAAGTATCATCACATGCTTTTTAATGCATTGAAAGATATCTTTAATACCTCACATACAGACTGCTAATAACTTTGAAATGGGAGACTAAAAATAAAGTTATGATTACAATATGTGACTACAACCTCTGTTCAGACAACTGGTGTTGTGGTGTTAAAAGCTTTTACTACAACATTATTTATGGCTGGTCAGTTCTACAACTTATTTCAGGTATAATTCATAAGGAAAAGTGAGCACTGGAAAATGGTTGCTAATATACCAACCATATCATTTCATGCCAGCAGCTAGGGATGCACAGATGATGGGTCAAAACATTGTAGTAATGTTAACAACTTTAATAACAAGTTCAATTGTCTAAACAAAGTTTGGAATATCATTGAATGTTCTTAGAATAAGACAAAATATGTAACTTTGTTCTCAATATTTTTCATTTATAAGTTTCTATGGCTTCAGTTTAATAAGAGCCAAGTTAACTTTTCACTTTTAAGTTAATAATTTCTTTTTCCATTAAATTCTGTTGGCAAATAACCTTGTTAATGTCTCGTAAGCTTTGTCCCCTTGTCTGCTTTAAACATGTTGCAAAACAAGTTGGATAGTTTTATTACAAGTAGAACTTGTTTAATGAAATATTATGGATGGATTTTTGGCCATACTTGTTTTAAAAAAGATTTTGGTGAAATCTACAGGGTCACTTTAATTTACCCCTTGATCTTGTTTGCTACTCATTGTTGCATTTTATAACTTGACCAGATTTTTAATACTTAAGGCTTATTGTGCATTCCCTGACTGGCTGTTATGAAGGCTAGCAATGGGTGTATCAGCTATTAACCCTTGGGTGGTACAGTATTTATAGAAGTGTGGTTTATCATTCTCAGTTGAATGGCATGCCATTTTGTGTGTGCCCATGCATACATTTGTATGAAGATATTTGGCAACAGTGCTTGAATATAGATTCATGTTTTTTCTCAAAAGCTAAGTAAACATAAGCAGCTTTAGTTGAAATTCAAACTCCTCCTGTTGATCCTGATTTATATGCTGGGAACTATGATGCTGGTGACAATTGCTCTTATAAGATATATTAACAATAGGAGAGGTGTTCTTCTTTATCCAAAAGTCTCGCGTTTTGATTAAATTTCACTTTTTCCTTGCTATATTTTCATGAATATCATGAATATAAGTACATCTGTTGTAGTAGTAATAATAATACTGATGATCTTGACCCTCTACCATTCCCACAAAACTTACATTCTCTATTTTTAAAATTAAGGCTTAAACTGTGGCAGAAATTCCTATCATTCACAGTTGAACCATAGAATGACAATGATGGAAATTCTCATCAGCAGTTAATGGGTTAAGCTCAAGGGGATATCTATAAAGGCCTGGCAGCCATGCGATTTGGGGGTGGGGGCATGTAGAGACATAAATTACTACTAA